GGGGTGGGGTTCAGGGGAGTGGGTTTGGATCTCCACAAACAGACTAAGATTCTTTCCTTAGAGCCACTCAAGCTTCGATTTCAACTCAAGAGCTCTGAAGCCAGGCAGGCTGGGGATGAGGGTGGGAAGAGGTCACACCTGTAGTGATTACAGCCTTGGGAGCAGTTTCATGGACAGATGACAATGATAGCCTACAGTGGACAGCGCTGTGATCTTTTCAAAGTGATTCCACATTCACATTCACTTATCTCATGACTAAATAACAATAATTGTGTGAGCCAAGACTGGAGTTGGTTTTTCCCGGGCTGCCCTCCTCTGTCTCACGTTGGTCCCTGGGAGGAGATGGACTCTCTGGTTAGGGTGGGGTACCCCAGTGGGGGTGGAGCTGCGGGCTGAGGTATTATTGGGGGCCAGCACCCATTGCACTGGGCAGGGTCCTGGAGTCTGCTCTGCTTGCAGAGTGTGGGCTCTTGATGGCTTTCCCTGAGTCCTAACTACATCTTTTCCTCTGCCCAGTAGTCTAAGGCTTCAATAGAATTACCAGTACTCAAGGGCAAACTCTTCTCCATAGTTGAAGTGGTCATCGTATTCAAGAATCGTCTACAGTGTCTGGTTCCACCCATAATCTCTGTGCTTGCCAGCGCTGAGACAGCTCATTGGTTAAAACAACCTCTTCTCCCCTCCAAACATACTTGTTTTACTCCTTCCAGGTCACTATTTATGCAGGTCCTGCCACCTGCATGCCTACTTCTAACCTCACTTGGAGATGAATCTTTCCCTGAGGACACCAGGTGAAGGTGCTCTTGCCTTCCTGCGAACACCCTAGACAAAGTTTTGGCACAATATTATTTGATCCATGTCTTATGTCCCCAGAGCTTTGTTGTTTTTAGGTCCCTCAGCATCTTTGTACATGGGGGCAGGCTGGTCCACTCATGGCCCCAGTGCATCCTTCACCTGCCCCTCTCTGAACTTTGCTCGCTTCCCTTCCCCCAAAGCAAGACAGACTTGGGTTTGAATCTCAGCTCTGTGCTCACTGGGTATGTGGCCTTGGACCAATCACCACCTCTGTGAACTTTACTCTCTCCCTCTTTAAATGGGTCAAATCGTTCCTTCCCTCAGTGTTCTCGGGGGAAGACAAGATAATGTATGTTGTGACTAGCGTGCCTGGCACATAGCAGGCATTCCTAGATGGAACCGCTATCATTTCTGCCTGTCCTGGGAAGCGTCCCCTGGATGCTGGGTGCAACCCACAGTGACCCCAGCTGCCTCCTGCGCTCTGTAGCACTTCATGTTTGCCGCACATGGCTTTGTGGAGCTGGTGGTCTCTTCCTGGCCGAGACCAGGTGCTTCCTGCACACAGGGCCTTGTGGAGGCTCAGCTCTGTGCCTCTCCCAGAGGAGATGTGCCTCAGAAGTCTTTGGGAGCACCAGGCTGTGGGTCTGGCCTCTCAAGGTCACAGAACTACACTGAGCATCAGTGTCCTGAGCCCCTGAGCCCCTCCCATGGCCTTTCTCATGCTCACCTTTGGTTGCTTAGCAACCCCAACACCTCCTACAGACTCAGGTGAGGCTGGAGTCATCTCTGAGTCAGAGGACGGCTGGAAGAAGTTATCATATACGAAGACAACTATGTGCACTGCACCTCAGGCCCAGAGAGCCCCAGGGACAGGAACACACAGCTGCACAGAGGACGAGCTCAGGTGTCGCAGGGTTGGCAGCAGGTGGGGGAAAGAGGGGATGGGCAGGTGGGCCTGGCACAGGGTGGGTTCCCACTGCCTGTTGTTGAGTGAAGGAGAAGACCATGGCTGAAAGGCCAAACTTGGCTCAGCATAGGACTGGACAGAAGAGGGCGCTGTGGTTCTACTGAACCCAATTCCTGGTCCACTCTGCGTAGATGTCTCCACAGGGCCCCCTCCTTCCATCTGGGGTGCTGCCTCTCATCCGCTCTTCTCTTCACTCAGTCAGGCCTCCAGTCTTGCTGACTCACCCTCCAGGGCAGCTCTCTCACCTGCCTGCCTCTTCCCAGGTCTCAGCCTGGCCCTCACTTCAAGCCCCATCTCTTCCCTCACCCTGAACTACTAGCCCAGCCTCAGGGGCCCAAAGAATATAGATTCTGTTCTTCTCTGCCTTCCCAGTGGTTGGGATTGTGTTGCCCTACTCTTCAAGGACCTCAGTTTCCCCGACTGGGGAATAGTAAGATGCAGTGTTAGGCAAGACTGGCTCAGCTGCCTGTCCTAACCCTTTCATGGCAGGGAGGTGACCACAAGTACCCAGCTCTCTCAGTCTTCCTGGGCAGAAGGCAGGGGGTAGAAATGGCGGCCTTGGAGGCATCAGAGGGGTAGAGCTCAAAGCCAAGAGCAGCATCCTGCCAGGAGGCCTGAACTTGATAAGGAAGTGAAAGCCGCTAGCTGGCTGGGGTGGGGGCTGCAGAAATCGGCCCGTAGTGAACTTGCAGTAGGCTGTCCATCCTAGTTAAGAGCTCAGGCTCTGGGACAGATGGTAGGGCCAGCTAGCTGTCAGTACTGGCTTGGACACTTAGTGTCTATGTGACCCAGAATAAATGGCCTTACTAACACCTGCCATAAGTGTACAGTGAGGAAGTGACACCACAAAGAGCAGGCGTCAGGTGCTCAGCGAATGCTGGTAGGTTGTATCAGCGGGGCCCCAAGTCAGTGATTGGGGTGGGACGGCCATTTCTTCATTCTCTCTCCTGGTTAATTGTGAGTGTCATACCCATGCTAGGACAGCAGTCCGGCCCTTTCAGAGGCCACTCCTGCTTAGGCTGAGCCTGCTTGGAAGCCTGAGGACAGGCGTCCCTGGGCCATTGGAGGCCACGGACGTGTGTGGCCTGTACTCTCAGCCTGTCTGCCTGAGGTGAAGTTGCTGCCTCCTGTCCACTCCAGCCTCCCACACTCAGGTTGGCCAGGCATTTCTGCACAGGATCTGAGCCTCACAATGGCCCCTAAGGTAGCGAGGGGTCATTTTCTGTATTTAATGAATGAGGATACTGAGGTCTAGAAAGGTGCCCAAAGGCCCTTCAAGTCACTCAGGTATGAAGTTGTGACTCAAACCCAAGTTTTCTCATTTCAAAACCAACATTCTTCCTGGTTTCCTTTAGTTGCACAATAGAGGGTTCACCACCTTGTGTGACCCATTCTCATTTAGCCGGGGACTTGCCCAGGACACATACACACACAGAGACACGGATACATACATGGCCACGCATGCAGTCACGTGGGCGTACACTCCCCTCCCACACACACACACATCTACATGTGATGGTGCCTTTTCATACTTATAGTCACAGACACATACTTGCTGCACATAAAATTACCAGAACACCCAATACATAGATGGACGTGTACTTGTGTGCAAACATGCAGAGACACACAAGTGGGCTCCCGTGCACAAACTTGCAGCTCCAGTAGCTGCCCACGTTCACAGAGGATTCTGTTCCAGGTGTGCCCTCATCTCCCCGCCCCCCCATCTCGTCTGTCTGCCTCGTGGAACTGGAGGATGTTCTGTTACTTGGAACAATTGAAAGAAGACAAGGAGGGTTGGGCGGGGCTATGGAAGCCCGTCACATGGCTCTCTTCCTTGTTAGAGCTGGGTGGGCACAGCAGGGGCAGTCTGTCTCTCTCCTTGCATGGACTGCTCAAGGACAGAGCTGTCGTCCTAAAGAGACAGAATGACACGGGCAACAGCTTTCATTTACAACCTGAGCAGCAACAGCAGTGATGGTAAAAAGAAGGATCACAGGCTAACGCATTCCAGCAGGAAGATCAGGGCTTACAATTTAACCATAGCAATTAACCATGGAGGCGGGAACAGTTCCCTCCCAGCACTGGAAGTCAGCTAGGAGACAGGGCTTGTGGGCCTGTTCCTGGACTTTTAGATTTCGGGCACCATTAAGGCCTCACATTGCCTTCTGTTTGCCTTGTAACAGTGGTTATAAGCATGGACTCTGGAGCCGGCAAGCCTGTTTCCAACTAGTTCTGTGCATGTCATTTGATCTCTGTGCCTTAGTTTCTTCACCTGTAAAATGGGTAGACTACTTCTATCGTAGGTCTGTCAAGATGGTTAAAGGAGTGAATGTTTGCAAAACCTTTAGGACAGCACCAGACACCTGGTGAGTGCTACATAAAGTTTGGCTATAGTCTGTTTAGGAAACCAGCCTGGCTGCTCCAGGAATAACTGCCTTGCCTTGGCCCGATTTTGAGAGCATAAGTGGCGCCTGCCTTTGCTGCCCCTGTGATTGTCTGAGCTCACATTGCCTCATCCGTCCTCTAGTCTGTGCCTCAGTCTGGCTCTCTGTTCAGGTAAAGGCCTCCTCCTCCCCAGCCTTCACACCCCATGAGCTTCCGAATCCTGTGGGATCTGGCTTCATGAGGTCCCATCTCGCTGCCCCTGCCCTCCCCTCCTCCTTCAGTGTCAGCCTGTTCAGACCTCATCTCTTGCCGGGATTGCTGCCACGGCCTCCCCCTGTGGTGAGCAGGTGTTCCCGCCCACAGCCATCCCTGCATGATTCCCCCACACCCAGATCAAAGCCCCTGCCCTCCCCAGCCTGCCACTGTGTGCGCCTCTTTCACTCCCATGCTGTGTGTGTGTGGGGGGGCCCAGCCTCATCTAGTCTCTGCAGCCAATTCTGGGTCTTTGGTTACATGTGATACCCTTCAGGGGCCGGGGAAGAAGAAACAGCGTGGCCGTGCTCCATCTGGCAGTCACCTACCACACTGTCCCCGTCACCATCCTTTCCTGCACAGGCAAACCAGGGCTGGGAAGCAGGTCCTGTGGCTAAGAGTTAGCACCGAACAACAACAACAACAAAAAGGCCAAATGCCAGCCTCTCTTCTGCTGGCACTTACGTGGGGCATTGAGCAGTGGGGCTCTGGGCCTCCTTTAATACCAAGAAGACTCCAGAATTTCTGGACCAGAAATGGGCATAGTGGGTGGGGATCTTCTGGCGCAAAGACAAGGCCCAGGCTTAGGTGGGGGATTGACGCTAGTGTTCTAGAAGTCTCCGAGCTACATGAGCTACGAATGCGGCCGTAAGAATTACGTGCCTCCCTGAGAGCATGCTGGGGGCCGAGTTAATCTGGGCAGCTCATGCTTGTTGCCATGCCCAGAAGGCAGGAGCAGAGCTTCAGCCAGGAGCATAGACGACGGCTTCTGTGGTGTTCTGTCCGGCACCTTAGACAGCTTTCACCGCCTATCCCAACCCACATGGCAGAAGCCCGCAATCCCGCCGTGTGTGCGTCATGTCATTAGCTCATACCTTTGTATACCAACCAATGAATTATCTAACAAATATTTACAGAAGTTCTTCTATGATCAAGGCAACATACGAGGTACTGGGGTGATACAAGGATATGAGTCTCCCCAGAATGATTGAGGAACTCGAGGGGAAAGATGCTTAGGGCCCTTTGATATGGTGGTTAAAACCCAGCTGCAGAGACTGAAGTGGGGGTGAAAGGGAAATGTGACCAAGAACTCACCAGCAGGAGCAGTTGGAGGAAGAGGTGCTCCTGGTTCGCCTTGTGTGGGCCTTGGCGCTCTGGCTGGGTCAGCTCTCCACAGCCCATCTGCTGGTCTCAGGGCAGACAGGAGGACTGGCAGGAAGGAGTCTGCCAGCTGATGCCTGGGATTCAGAAATACTATCCTTCTGTGAAACAGGATCACCCTTGATGTTTCTCTCTCTCTGAAGGAAGCTCGAGAGAGAGGATCCAGTCAGGGTCGGTGGGCAGGTGTAGGGTGCAGGGGAACACGGGCAGAGCGAACTCAGAAGAGGACAACCCTCTGCCTTGTTGGCTGAAAGTGCACAGATCAGATACTGACCCAGATGCTGAATTAGCTGCTGACCCAGGAGGTCTTTTCTGAAAGCTGGTGATCACACATAGGCACAGAAGGTGGTGGTGGTTGGCTCATGTCTCCCATCCTTACCCCCAGTGTGTAGAAGACCTTTCCCATAAGCAGATGATCAAGTCAGGCCTGGTTTTGTTGGGCTGCTCAGTGGCTGACCGCTGGCATTGAGGTTCTTATGATGGGGCCCTAGCCTCTGTCTGGGCCTCCCCCACCTGTCTGTGAGAAGGGCCAAGGTAGGGGGTTTTCTTCAGTCCCATTGAACCTGTGGGGACAGAAGGTCGGTCTGATCCACTGGGGACAGGACCCTTTCTCCAACTCCAACCAGGGTCCCTGGGAAGCCCATGACCTGGAGAGATAGTGTCAGGGAGGACTCCCTCCACAGAGAGAGGACCCCTCATCCCCACAGGGGCCTCCCCTGTACTCTCTGCCCTCACTATCCTGAGAGACTCTATTTAGAGAGGCAGAGAATTGGAATAAAATTACATTGGTGTTAGACTTGGTGTTGAGTTTTAAATTTACTAGCTGGTCACCTTGAGCATATCCCTTAATTTCTCTGAGGAAACACAGCACCATGGTTCAGCACAGGCTCTGGAGCCAATTGCCTGGGTCCAAATCCAGGCTCAGCTATAAGCTGTGTGACCTTGGGCAAATTACCTAACCACTCTGTGTCTCCATTTCCTCATCCATAAAATGGGTATGAGAATAATAGTATCTCCTCCACAGTGTTGCTGTGGGGTTTAACTGAATTAATACCTATAAAACACTTAGGATAATGTGTAGCATGGGGAAATACCTGCTGGAAATTAGGGCTTTTGCTTTCTGGGGTCCATGGATGCACAATGCCTTTACTCCATGAAGGCCTCTTCTTGTGGGTATATTGGGCCATCCTGGGATAACAGATATTTTTGCTGTTCCTCATGGAGGGTTGGCAAGGCAGCCTGGAGACATGATAGGACCGTAAGGGTCGCAGCTAAAGAATACAATGCCATAAGTGCTGCCTGAGAAGCAGGGCTTTCTATGGGTAGAAAAAAAATGATTGCTATAAAACTATTAAAAACATTCACCTTTCTTGGGCCCCCGAGTGGCGCATTGGTTAGGAGTTGACTTGGGACACCAGCTCTGAGCAGCAGAGCCCCGGTTCAGATCCCACATAAGGGCCAGTGACACTGTCCTCTACAGCTAAGATGGTGAACAACAGCTTGACCTGGAGCTGGGCTGCCGTGAGATGTTGGCGATGGCGTAGGCTGCAGTGGGGCTGCCCAGCAGCAGGCATGAGCTTTTGTGAGCTTTCGTGAGCTGCCGTGAGTGGCCGTCCAATGGCCGGCGAGTGACTGCCTCACCGGGGAAGAGTGCAATGATAACACCAACATGGGCCAGTGAAGCTACGTCCTCCACAACTAGACTGAAGAACAAAAGGACAGCAACTTGTCTGTTTCCCTTCCCTGATTCCCCAGCGCTGTTCCCCTCCCTCAATTCCCCAATAAAATCTTAAAAAAAAAAAAAAAGTTAAAAAAAATAATTCAGCTTTCTCATTTCTTTTCCCTTCCTGACGTTGCATCTCTTGTCTATTCTCATCAGTGCAGGAACCTGCCCTCCTATTCTTTTCTTTTTTAAAGATTTTATTGGAGAACTGGGGAAGGGGAACTGTTGGGGAATTGGGGAAGGGGAACAGCCAACTTGTCTTTCAGTCTTAGTTGTGGAGGGCACAACTAGCTCAGCTCCAAGCCCAGTCACCATCTGGCTGCCTGTTGACAGCTTGCGGCCGCTCAGCTCAAGGTGCAGTGTTCAATCTTAGTTGTGGGTGGGCACAGCCCACCATCTCACGCGGGAGTCGAACCGGCAACCTTGTTGTTAGGAGCATGTGCTCTTACCAGCTGAGCCATCCTGCAACCTGTTGGCAGCTCAGCGGCAGCTCAGCTCAGGAGCAGCTCACTGCCCCATGTGGCAATCGAACCGGTAACCCTGTTGCTCAGAGCTCGCACTCTTAACCAACTGAGCCACTCGGCCAGCCCTGCCCTCCCATTCTTTTCAAAAGAGTAAATTGAGACAAAAACACAAGTGTATTTGGTCTGTGCAAAAGTCACTGTGGGGAAAAGGTGCAGTAAACGGAGCTTGGAGCTGGTCACACAAACTCACTGGACCATGAGAATATTTACAGCAGCTACCATTTCTTTCTTTCTTTCATTTAAAAAATATACAGTAAAACACTGGATTGTGAGTAACTTGGTTTGAGAGTGTTCCACAAGATGAGCAAACATTTCTAATACATTTTAACATGGTAAACGAGTAATATCTTGCAATATGAGTAATTTGTTTCCAGAACGAATTATGTTCACAATCCAAAGTTTTACTCTATTTTGATTGGGGAACAGTGCGTTTTTCTAGGACCCATCAGCTCCAAGTCAAGTGGTTGTTTCATTCTAGTTGTGGAGGGTGCAGTTCAGTGGCCCATGTGGGGATCAAACCGGCAACCCTGGTGTTATGAGCCTGTGCTCTAACCAACTGAGCTAACCGGCCACCCCGCAGCTACCATTTCTTAAGTGCTTGACCTGGGCCAGGCCCAGGGCCCAGTGCTTTAGGAATGGTACCTCATTCGATCCTCCCAGCAACAGTAGCATGTATTGGTATTATCTCAAGTTTGGGGAAATGGAGTCACAGGGAGTAGCTCCTGACATGGCAGAGCTGAAATGTGAATCTAGACTTGAGACTCCCCCTCTGTGCTAGAAGTGTGTATGGCATGCAGGCAGCAGGTGGGTGAGGGGTGTGTGGGTGTCTGGAGGACTCACTCTGCTTGGGGAAGTCAGTGAGAGCTCCCAGGAGACAAAGTGTATGAGCTAAAGGAAAAGTACTCCAGGCCAAGAAAAAGACACGTGGGTGATGAAGGCATTCCACCGAACGAGGACCTTTCAGTGCGATGGTGTGAAGCCCAGAAGAGCAATTCTCTGAAGACTGGAGTGTGGCGTGCTGAGGAAGAGAGGGGTCTGAGTCAGGTAGTGTCTACACAGGCCACACAGGCTGTCGAGTGATGGTGTGCACTGGTCACCAACGGGGGTGCCTGCTGGCCATCTCCTTACCTCACTGGGCAGCAAGGAAGAAGGAGCTGAGGTCCAAGACACAGGGCATCTACGATCTAAGACAGGGGGATCCCCCCCTTCCCTTCACCTCCACCCCACCCCTCCCCCTTCTCTCCCCCTCCGTCCCCCAATTATCACCACAACCCTTCCTTTTTCCAAAGAAAATTTTACATGAAAGTCTAATGTATAAAACAGATGAAGAAGCTTCTCTGCTTGAGTTAGGAATGGGGGGAGGTCCTGCCCCTGCCCACTGGCGCCCCTTAGTTCCCTGCTCCTTGGAACCTCTCAGCTCCCTGGAGCACAATCCGACGCCCACTGGCTCAAGTCCTTACTGTTTCCCATGCTTCCCTTTGAGGTCTGGCCTCCTGGTCACCCTGGCCCCCCCCCCCACCTGGATATGTGCTCTGGTCCCCTTCTCCCCAGCGTGCAGGCTCAGTGACGCAGTCCCATTGGGTCCTTGCCGAAGAACCTGATCTCCTTGCTCTCCACTGACCTCTGGCTCTGTTACCACCACCAGCTGGGAGCAGGGCCAAGGGGCCAGGGGCCCAGGGCCTCCATCTGACCAACTGGACACCAAGCCATGAAAAACAAGCTCCCCTATCAGATTCTGGGGCCTCTCGGGCTTTGGCCTGGGCTTGCCCTTCTGACCTAACCCGCCACGCTCCAGTTTCTGGGGCAAAAGGATGAGCAAGGCTGTGCACACCTCCACCTCCGGGGAGCCTCCGTCACCCCAACTGTGTACCCTGGGACTAGACTTGGCAGAGAGAGAGGAAGGAGGCAGCCTGGAGGCAGGAGGAGGGGAGTCAAAGGACGGAAGTGAAGAGAAAGCACTTTCTGCAGGTCAGAGAACAAACTACCATCAGGTCTGCATGGCTCGGGCTCATTTCCACAGCGTGGACCTGTTCCATCTCTCAGCACCTGAAGATAGGCAGCCATGCAAGCAGGTTCTCTTCATACAAGCACCTCGTGTGTGCCTGGCGCTGTGGAGACAGAGCTGCAGTGGGGGGAGGGGGGCAAAAAGGTGGGGCCATGACTTGGAAATATCAGGAGCCACCTCGCAGCATGCTGAGAGGACTGGATGACTACTGTATGCACAGCACCTAGCTCTAAGCCTGCTGCCTGGGAAAAGAATAGAAGTCTTTGCAAGGGAGCTCAGAGGAGGGAAGCTTAGGTTGGGGTGGAGGAGGGAGATGAGAAAAGAGAGGCGGGGAAGATCTGATCTCTCAGGAGCAGTCTGAGCTGCTGACACTTGTAAGATAAAAGGGACCGCCCAAAGCAGAGAAGAGCTTTTGCTTCTGGAGTGGAAGAAAGGGTACAGAGAAGGGCATTCTAGGCATATGCAAAATAGCACGTGTACAGGAAGGCCGCAGGCATGCGATAACCTAGTTTACCTTGGAAACTCCAAGCTCAGGAATGTCCCACCTACATGAATGAGGTCAGGGTCCCTTCCAGGCAGCATCTATAATGGAGAACTGCTCTCTGGACTCAGAGAGGCCTGGGTTCCAATTGTAGTGGTATGGCCTGGGGGCATTTCTGAACCTTCCTGAGTTTCAGTTCCTTAGTCGTAAAGGGGAGTTTGCTGTTTACCTTGATAGGCTGTTGTGACGCAAGGACGAAATGGAACAAAGCAGTCACAGGACATGG